CTCTCTCTCTCTCTCTCTCTCTCTCTCTCTCTCTCTCTCTCTCTCTCATATATATAACCCAACGACCAGCGCTGATGAACATTCACCCAGTCCAGGGGTCGGCAACCTTTTCTATCCAAAGAGCCATTTTGCGCTATTTTACACCAAATATAATGTGTCTGGAGCCACTAAAGCTATTTGATATCACAGCTTATAAAGTTTTATATATAGTTATATTATATATACAAAAACTATGGTTTGTTGTATTTATGAAAATATAGAACAAGAATAAAGACAATTCTTGACATTTCTTTTGCAAGTTTACCTGATATAACAATATCACGCTCTTATGAAGAGGAGAGTTTGCTGCAGCGTGACACTGTTCAGCACATGCTGTGTGCTTGTTGTGGAAGCGTACAGTAAGTCAGCATCGTTGGCAGTGAAAGCAAATGAAGACGTCCACGCAGAGTTAAACTCTCTATTTTCCTCCGTGACTTTTCTTTCTTTGGGTTTATCCACTGATAGTTTACAGAGGGCGGGGGTCTGAAAATCATGATGAGCCACCTGCAGGGAAAAGCGCTTTTAAATCCTCTACAGGGGTAGAGGATTTAACTGCCTGTGGGAATAATTAACATAAGAGTGTTCATTCTTGCTTATAAATTATATTCTCTCTGAACACGTTTCTCTTTTTGGAGAACGTCATGTGAGATAACTTCTCTGATCATAATGGTCCTGCTCTTCTTTCTGTTTCCTCGTCTCTGTCACGTGTGTGTAAACCTCGCTCGAGTCAGGAAACGTGTCAGAATACCCATATTTGATTGGCTGAGCTGCATCACGTGATGTGATTTGCAATGCATTGGTCGGTGTGTTTCCTGCACCGCCGAACAAGTACCGTAACGGCTGAATAAGAAGCGCCGGTTAGAGTTTAGACTCGGTGCCTAATATGTATAATTACGAATTATCTATCGGTTTTCAGTTCCTGGGTCCGGATCCGGTGCGCCAGTTGGGGACCTCAGGGAGCCGCAACAGAGAGGCTAAAGAGCCGCAGGTTGCCGACCCCTGACCCAGAACAAGGTTCTGCCCGAGGATTCCACCCGATAAAAGGGCTGTTTGTCCTTATAAAAATATCATTAAAAGTCTTACTTTTATATGTCCTAAAACGTCATAAAAACGTCATGGTATAATATGTCATGACAAGTCACAGTAAAGTTTGACATAAAGAGTCAGAGCATTGTATTGGATGGAGCGTAGTATAAACACATCATTTGCATACCAGGAGACTTCCCGGTGATGTCCACCACTTTGACGTTGGCACTCATCTGCAGCAGCGTGTCCAGCAGCTGGTCAGTCTTGCGGTAGAGGGCGCTGGAGAGCACTGCAGGACGACCGCCGTCTCTGGGAGGAAGTTTGGTGACATGAAGAGGAGGAAGAGAGGCGAGCTGAGCGCGCATCTTCTCAGCCTGCAAGAAGAAACCAGGGGCACAAAAAATCCAGATGTAACCAGCAGCAAAAGGGATCAAGGACTGAATGTGACTGATTCTAGATTCTAGAGGACAATCTGAAGACAGACTGCTCTCAGTCCCTCCCTCCAGTCAGTATCTGTCAAACGGGATTTCTATGGTTTAAAAAACGCAAACTTTATCAGTTGATGTTATTTTTCTCATTCTTGATGAATGTAGGTTGTCAGGTATTGATATCGCCCAGCAGGAGCGATATCAATTCAGGGCACAATACATTTAATGTACATTTAATCTCCAGGCTTGTATGATGGTTCATCCTAACCCTCGCTGTGATAGCTTCAGCTTGTTTATGACAGGTTTTGTTATTTGCTCTGTGTACAGAACTAGTCTACACGACCACATGTATAACATGACCACCCTCATGATGAAGAAAAGACGAGTGTAGAACCAGCGAGATGTGGGGAGGATTCCTACCTTCAGTCTGTTGTTGTCGTTCTTCAGGTGTTTGATGCAGAGTCTCTGAGCATCAATCTGCTGAGTCAGCAGAGGAGAGTCGATCACCTGGACACCCGACCCGGCACCGGGCATCACGTTGGCTGCTGCAGTGAAAGAGCAGGTTATGAGCACCGGACTGAAGCCAAACCTTCATTCATACACGGAGCATAAAAACTCAGTTTAAATGAAGAACAATGTCCAACTCTTCACCTTTTGTTTACAGCTGCAACATCTCAATGTTGAATCTTAGCACAGAGGTGTAACGTAATGTTCGTTCATTATTCCGTCCTCTACATGTCAGAGTTAAACATTGTTTTCTTTTTATTCATCCGACAGCTGCTGCCGTCTCAAACCATCGTCATTCTCTTCTTCTTCTGCGGTATAGTTATCAAATATTACAGCCGACATTCTTAAGAAGATAATGTTGAACTGAACAACGTGACATCAAAGTATCAAACAGAGTAACTAAATATGTATGAAAACACCATGCAAGTAGATGATGTACATGCCAGAGGATGCAGAGTTATGTCATGTATTTCAGATTGATGGATATAGATGTAAAACCTTTGATACCAGGGTTTCTGCAGGTTTAACACGAAACTTTAAAGAGCGTTTTAATACCACCTTCAAACTGTCCAGTATGAACGTATGATGGAAAACCAGTAGAGACAATATGGCCTTTTTCTGTACTTCCTGTCAGTATATAACTATAACTTCTAATGATATAATTAAATGAACACAACCTGGATGTGGATGAGCAGCAGATGTATTGTGGTGACAGTGTTCTAAAGGTCTGATTGTGCTCCACAATGTGCAGCAACAATCACACAAGTGTGCATCGACTACCGAAAGCCCTGAAACAAAGACATTTTAGACAAATATTTAAGATCTTCATGACCTGCAGAAACCCTAAATACAACATGGTCGTAGTATCTAACAGCCGTCTAACGTCTCAGTGAAAACATTTCATCATTCTCTGAAGAAGCAGCATGCCGGGTCACAGGCAGGTGGGTGGATACCTTTCTGATCCTCTGCAGAAGGTAACGTAGGAGATTAAGAAGAGAAGTCACGTAAAGACAAAGAGGAGGTCAGAATTATTATTTTGCAAAAACTTCTCAGGATCGACTTTTAGTCTGTTAAATGATGTTAATTGCTAATCAACACTGATGTAAGACGTGTGGTATGGTGGCTCCTTCACAGTGTTGGTAAATGTACATGTCGTGTTCCCGCCGCTCACCTCCTGCCACTCCCGTGACGATGGAAGCGATTCCTGACGGGCCGGTTCCTCTGAGCCCGTCGACGGTCATCTTCGATTGGCTGTTGATTCGCTGCTTCAGCTCGGCCTTCTCCGACTCCAGCTGGTCGATGTCGGCCTGCAGAGCGTCCATCGTCTCCTCAAACTCTCTGTGGAGAAGAGGACAACATCGCACAGCTGTAGACCTCTGTTACAGAACATGACTTCCTGTCTGCGTCTGCAGTCTGCACTCGTTGGTTCTTACTTTTCTTTCTTCTTCAGCAGAGTCTGGGCCTCGTCCAGTCGAGTCTGAATCTTCTCGACGCGTTCGTCTGCGTCTTTGGACGAGCTGTCCAGCTTCTTCTCCAGCAGACTGAGACGGACACTCGCCTCGCTCAGCTCCTCCCCCTGGAAACACACAAACCGCTTTCATGCAATAAACACGTTTACATTTTTCATTGTTGATTCATCTGGAAAAATGTTTCTGTTTGTTTGATCGATTCATCATTTGGATGTCAGAGGATAATTAAGACTTTGCAGGTTTATCAGAAATGTCTGAGAAGACTAAAGAGTGTTAATATATTCAGCCTGGAACTACAGAACATCTTGCATCTTTGACAGATTTAAAGTGTTTAATAAGAACATCATAACTGACTAATGCTGCATTCACCATTCACGTTTTTATCATCTAATTATTTTATGTCTAGTGCTATGTGTCGTTTCAACATTGATGTTGGCTCTGTAATTGTCTGCTTCATTCCTCCTGTGATTAAATATTTGTAATCGGTACATTTGAGCGGTTTATTCAGACCCTGAACATTTATCCTCATATCAATAAAATCCCCTGAGAAGACAGATATTTGTATTCTTTAGTGTTTGTTCGGAATGTGAACACAAAAAACAATTACAGGAGACGAACCTCACGACAAAGATCTCTAATCTGGCAGATTGTTACCAGAACTCTAAGATGCAAACTTCTTGTGAGTGATTCTATTGGATTGTACACGCTCTGGTTCCATCATAACTGCAGAAGATGAATGTGAGTCTGCTGTATGTGTCAGAGTGGTGACCCACCTTGATCTTGAGGGACTTCTTCAGCTCTTTGATGACCGTCTCTCTGTCCTCCAGCTTCATGCCGAGACCTTCGGCGTCGGTGATTTCAGCTCGAAGAGCTGCCGCTCGCAGGTCCACAGGTGGAGGGTTCTGATAGACGAACAAGAGCACAACGTCAAAACCAGAACCTGCTGCATTCATGTCGAGCAGAGACATCAAGACATCTTCAGAGCTGAACGGCAACGTACAGAGCTCGCTCTGGACTCTGAATCACCTTGTTCTGAGGCCTCTCTGAGTCGTACTCTCCCTCCTGCATGGCGGTGGCCATCTTGTTCATGGTTGCTATGACCATGCCACAGGACTGCCGCAGACACTCGTAGGGGTTGGCACCCTGGGATCCATAAATCTGGAAACGATGGTATGCTGGTCAATAAGCAGAGCAGTCTGATCATGTGGATGTATCTCTGCTGGTCAGGGTTGCCTTATGTCCAATGCAGATGAACTGAAGTACTGTGTTTTACCTGCTCTCCTGCCTTGAACGCCACATCCTCCAGTTTGACGGCTGACAGCCCCTCCTGTTCACCAAGAGGCGACATCATCTGAGCTCCAGCTGCCGCCACTTCCTGCAACACCGCCACCACCCAGGTCAGGTGTTTCCTGCAGTCTGAGAGGGTGTCGCACACCTGCAGTCCAAAGGCGAGAGCTGCCGGGATGCCCGGCGCGTCGGTTCCCGGCATCCTGCGCCGGATCTTCTTGCAGAACTGTCGGATGTCGCTGCAGGACGTCTCCAGGTCCTTCAGCAGCACGGCGAGGTCGGCCTTCTCCTGACCCGCATGCAGGAACGCCCGCAGACGACCAACCTCCACCGCCATGCAGTCCAAGGCACTCTGGGTAAACTGCACATGGACACAACAGGTAGCAAGTTAAACTGGTGGAGACGCCTCTGTTCAAGCCGCTAAATACACAGCCATCGTGTTCATAATCTTGTTATCTGCAGGTGTAACCAGACGGACGAAGTGGTCACATGTTGTATGTTTCACTGCGTACAGATTCCTCTCAGGCGGCCGTGATGTTGGTACTCACTCTGATGTGATCAGCCAGCTGCATGGTGCAGTCCTCGTTCTGATCGGACAGGTGGATGCTGTACAGGTGCTGAGGAAGGAGTCATTTTGTAGATGAGTGTAAGTTCACATATCTCATGTTATCACAAACACATCAACACATTGTGATCTTCTTACATGAAACTTTATGTTGTAATACAAATGTGACTGTAGAAGAAAGTTTGGATTTTAATACATTACATCAGTAATGTTACTGCTTAACAGAAGATCTGCAACTAAAATAATAATTAAACAAAAAATAAAACTGTGTGTGTGTGTGTGTGTGCACCTGATAGTATTTAATGGCCTTGGTGAGCGGCTCCACGTTGACCGTCTCGTCCAGCTGGTCTTTGTGCAGCAGGTCGATGAGGAAATCCAGAGAACGCTCGTGGACGCTCATCTCCGGGTACAGAGAGCCGATCTTCTTATAGACATCCACACTGCACTGATCCAGAGCCCTGAGACACGCACACGCACACACACACACACGATAAAGTTCCACTCTACAGATGTTTGTGTGCACAGGAGGAGAGGGGTTTCCCTAAAAGAGAAGACTGAGATGCAATTGACTTCACAGATTTTGATTAAATGCAACAGAGACAAACCTGTCAGTCATGTGTCAGTGCTCAGACTCCCTCCTGCTGTGTGTGTATGTGATGTCGGTGAAACTTACTGCTCGTATTTGTGCAGCGTGGCCTGCAGCAGACTCAGCGAGTAGACCAAACCGCCGGCGAAGCTCAGCTGCTCCCCGACGGCTCCCTTCAGCCCGGCTCGATCCACACAGTTCTCGTTCAGGTCAAACTTCTCCTGGGCCTGTTTGCTGATCAGCTCGGCCTGCAGACACAAATAAGAATATATTTGAAGCCTCCACATCTCAGTTTGACATTTGATTTGTTCTTTGGGTGAAATCAAGGAGGACTCCCTCTACTAACGTGGTTAGAACAGTAAAGTGAGTGGTGCTCACCTTGCAGATGAGTCTGGGCATGAGCAGCAGCACCAGGATGCAATCGTGGTCTCCGCCGTGACGAAGGAAGGACTCGGGCATGAAGGAGGTCAGAAGAGAAACCTGTCTGTTGGCCTGACCCACCTCCATCTTCCTCAGCTCCATCTCGATCGCCTAAACACACACACACACACACACACACACACACACACACACACACACACAGCGTAGAACTAATTTACATCACACAGTTTAGGAATCAGTTAACATCAAAAATAATATGCAGATCCTGAACTTAAAACTTTAAAAGTTTGAACTTTCCAACCTCTAAACTCACAGAAAACCAAAAGAAAGCTTAAAGAAAAGGACATTCAGGTTGACACTGACTCCCACTAAACGTTCCCACCACAGAGATCTACTGACTCCCACTAAACGTT